TTACTCGGGGTGCTTGAATCATTGAAGTTTTCAACGTAGTTCGTGTTAATCTTAGATGGCGCTATGTTAAGAGGAAATAAAAATGAATAGGTCGGATGTATTATTGAGTTAAAAAATATTCTATAAAAATGTCCAATAAATGTTGAATAAAACAAATTTTACGGATTTTTAGGTGCTTAATTTTATTTATTTTAAATTTCCCTGTCACCTCTTGATCCATTGTCACATGTGCAAAAAAACCCGAAACGACAAGTTAAAAAAAGTAAAATCAAAAAATTAAAATGCGAAATAAAAGTTTATTCATCATTTTTAAATAAATAAACTGGATGGCCTTTTTTACCGTCTGGAAAATTTAGGGTGTGGTAAAAACATGTGAACGGAATAGAAGCCTATGGCACTGAAAGTTTACAAAAAAAATGGAATAAATTAATTAATTAATTATATTCTATCGAAGTACAAATCATATCCATCCTACTTTACGAATGGCAATAAAAAAATTATAGACATCTTTGACCTTGTCACTTCGCAGCGTCACAGCCTAGGGTGGATATGATTTGAATAAATTTTACTTAATGTATTTGTTTAATTCAAACTTCAACAAGCTTCTACTCTGTTCACATGTGTAGTGTTATGCTTACATACATACTTACATATCATTTTACACTATTTTATTTTTATTTTTCCATTCTGTTTTTGATTTTCTACATTCACCTCAAAACTGGATATTTTGCATCACCTTTATTTCCATAGGATCCTGTAATATTTTTAATTCATAAGAACACAATAACAAATCATTTTCACTTCGTATTTTCACGTTATCAGCACTTTTTAAATCGGTGTCAATGGAGTCTACCTTTTTCGATCTTTTATTTAGTTCTCCGTAACTCTACAATTTCGGGTTTCGTGCGCGCTCTTGCGCTACCTTTTTTCCTATATAAATAATATCTCATTTTTCACTTAAATCTTGCCGTTTCTGTATTACGAGCTTAAAACCAAAATTTGACATGTTTTGACATCGTTGTTTATCTGGTTGTCGTGGCAATTTTTATTCAAATATTGTTACCGGCCTGATGTTTTTACTTCAAAAATACTCTTTTCTTCTTGGCCATTTACAAAAATTTGCTTTTAATTTAAATAATTTCAAATAATTTCTCGTTCTTATCCCAGATCCGTCAAAAAGTATAAAAGCCGAGGAATCGGCCGATAGAGGTCCTCACTTCAGCTTTGATACGAGAAGCACCTCTTAAAGGCTTTATCCGCACTGCCTCGGGATCTTGCAAGCTTTCTCCTGAAGTCGTCGCCTAGCCACGCCTACGCCTCCACCTATTAGTGCCCGCGCTATCTTCGGCCGCTGAGCGTGCTTGTCTCAAGCGCTGCGTGTTCCTACTCCAGACGCTGCGTGTCTACTCCGGACGCTGTGTGTGTCTACTCCGGACGTTGTGTTTGCCTACTTCAAGCGCCACGTGTACCTACTCCAGACGCTGCGTGTCTACTCCGGGTGCTGCGTGTATCTGCTCCGGGCGTTGCGTGTGCCTACTCCAAGCGCTGCGTGTACCTTCTCCAGACGCTGCATGTGCTTTCTCCAGATTCTGCGTGTACCTAGAGCAGGCGCTGTGCACCTATCATAGGCATAGCCTGTGCATACTTCGTTGCAGTATCTTTATTTTTGTTATTTTTTTAATAATATTGTAAATCACTATCATCATTACAGCCCATCATCACCTTCATACCTTTTTTTTTATAAAAGAAACTGTAAATCTTTTCAAATTTTTAAATAATTTATTTTATTTTTGGTTGTTTTGTTGTAGTTAGGTTAGGTTATTTAGTTTTTAATTGTCGCTTTACGACAATTTGGCGCCCGACGTAAAAGTTCTTCTTTTCTTCACCTTAGCTACGCCTTATCCATTTCCTTTTGATTGAATTGCTTTCTCTTTCGTTCTTAACTCTTTATTTACTCATCCTTATCATATCTTCCAAATTCTAAAACAAAACTTCATCTAGTTTTTCAACTTATCTGGATTATATTTAGACCTACATATAACACTTACATTCATCACCTTAATATTTTTATTCTAGAGAACTTAAAGAGGTACTATCTTCCAAATTCTAAAACAAAACTTCATCTAGTTTTTCAACTTACCTGGATTATATTTAGACTTACATATAACACTTCACTTCATTCATCACTTTTATATTTTTATTCTAGATAACTTAAAGAGGTACAATTTTTAATTACATTTTTATTTCTTAAACTTAACTTTGCACTTAATTATAACAATGAAAAGGGTTATTAAGTACGAATTCCTTAAAATACGAAGTGAAGATTAGATGTGAGGAACCAGCTAATACTGTTTTGCATGACACTACATTTGTATATATGTTTGTATATTTGTATATGTGTTTGTATATTTGTATATGTGTTTGTATATATGTATAATTATTACCTGATTAATTTCTTTATCTTTATCTTCACTCAGGAGCGGATTACAACTCCTTAAATAAGCCTGAATGTACTTTTAGTGATGTTGCTCATCTCTGGCTTTGAGCCCTACCGCTCTGGCCGTTCTTAATCTTTACTTAAGTCATAGCGGCTAAAGCTTGCTTAAGATAAATTGTCGTAAAGCGACAATTAAAAACTAAATAACCTAACCTAACTACAACAAAACAACCAAAAATAAAATAAATTATTTAAAAATTTGAAAAGATTTACAGTTTCTTTTATAAAAAAAAGGTATGAAGGTGATGATGGGCTGTAATGATGATAGTGATTTACAATATTATTAAAAAAATAACAAAAATAAAGATACTGCAACGAAGTATGCACAGGCTATGCCTATGATAGGTGCACAGCGCCTGCTCTAGGTACACGCAGAATCTGGAGAAAGCACATGCAGCGTCTGGAGAAGGTACACGCAGCGCTTGGAGTAGGCACACGCAACGCCCGGAGCAGATACACGCAGCACCCGGAGTAGACACGCAGCGTCTGGAGTAGGTACACGTGGCGCTTGAAGTAGGCAAACACAACGTCCGGAGTAGACACACACAGCGTCCGGAGTAGACACGCAGCGTCTGGAGTAGGAACACGCAGCGCTTGAGACAAGCACGCTCAGCGGCCGAAGATAGCGCGGGCACTAATAGGTGGAGGCGTAGGCGTGGCTAGGCGACGACTTCAGGAGAAAGCTTGCAAGATCCCGAGGCAGTGCGGATAAAGCCTTTAAGAGGTGCTTCTCGTATCAAAGCTGAAGTGAGGACCTCTATCGGCCGATTCCTCGGCTTTTATACTTTTTGACGGATCTGGGATAAGAACGAGAAATTATTTGAAATTATTTAAATTAAAAGCAAATTTTTGTAAATGGCCAAGAAGAAAAGAGTATTTTTGAAGTAAAAACATCAGGCCGGTAACAATATTTGAATAAAAATTGCCACGACAACCAGATAAACAACGATGTCAAAACATGTCAAATTTTGGTTTTAAGCTCGTAATACAGAAACGGCAAGATTTAAGTGAAAAATGAGATATTATTTATATAGGAAAAAAGGTAGCGCAAGAGCGCGCACGAAACCCGAAATTGTAGAGTTACGGAGAACTAAATAAAAGATCGAAAAAGGTAGACTCCATTGACACCGATTTAAAAAGTGCTGATAACGTGAAAATACGAAGTGAAAATGATTTGTTATTGTGTTCTTATGAATTAAAAATATTACAGGATCCTATGGAAATAAAGGTGATGCAAAATATCCAGTTTTGAGGTGAATGTAGAAAATCAAAAACAGAATGGAAAAATAAAAATAAAATAGTGTAAAATGATATGTAAGTATGTATGTAAGCATAACACTACACATGTTACACCCTTCTTTTTCCAGACGGTAAAAAACGTTATCCATTATGATTATAGTGGACATACCTTAATTTAATATACGTTTATTTAAAAAACTCAATAAAAATCAGGCCAATTTTTTGTTCTCTCTTAATAATAATCTAGCTTTCTTCACGTATTGGCACATGAGTAGGGTAAGTCCGTGAGAGTTGGCCATAAGGAAGAGATGGCCACTAAAAAAATCATAGTTAGACTTACTAGATGGCACTACTTTCTCGTTAGTTCAATTTATGCTGTGCGTGGGAACGACATTTCGCTCCATCTCCGGTGAAAAAAATCGAAAAAGTAAGTAAAATGTACCTACATTTATTTGTATATAGCCTAAAGTTTTCAAAGGGTTTACGTTATACAGTATGGTAAAGACATCATAAAAAGTGTTTTTTTAAGTTAAGTGCTCAGTTAATGACTCACACTTTAACATAACCTCAAAATGGCGCGTGGGTTGTTTATATTTTTCTACAAATAATGTGTGGCCATCTATCCCGGCTGATTAGGAGAGATGGCCATACATAATCGGTATGAGATGACCATAAGGCCATCTCACACCTACCATATATGTAATGCGTAATGGTGAAAGTTATATTATTATAACTTGATATATTTTTCTTTATTTATGGTGCTATTATACTTATTTGGTTTTAGTATTTCATATCACAATATTTTATTTTTAGATGCCAAATAAATACTAAAGAAAAGCAAGCAGCTCACAAGGGAACTGGAGTGAAGAGTCACTTAAGGCGGCCATGGACGCTGTTAAAAAAAGGTGAAATGACTATCTACGCAGCTTCAATAACCTATCAAGTACCAAGAAAGACCCTCGAAAGGCGATACAAGAAAAATAATGACAAAAAAGGACCAATGGGACTATCCTCTATATTCGGCGAAAAGATGAGAAGAAACTCGCTAACCATATTAAAACTATGCAAAAAAAATGATTTCCCATTGACTATTGATGACGTCAGAAAGATTGCGTACCAGTTCGCGGAGCAATTGAATTTGAATCACAGATTTAATAGAGAAACTGAGAAAGCAGGATATGACTGTTTGCAAGGTTTTTTACGAAGAAACCACGATATTACATTAAGAAAGTCAGAAGGAGTATCTTTAGCTAGATCAACTGCTATGAATAAACTGGAGGTTGACGCTTACTTTGAGCTTCTTGAAATCATATTGACAGTAGACGATGATGTATTGAAACCGAGTTGTATCTTCAACATGGACGAGACTGGTCTTCAGCTTAATAATCGACCAGGGCATGTTTTAGCTGAAAAGGGTTCTAAGGCTGTATCTACAGTTACTTCCACTGAAAAGGGAGAAACGATTACAGTTATAGCCAGCAGCTTGCTGAAGGTACATTTTTACCACCTGCATGTATCATGAAAGGCAAAAACAAAAAACCTGTGTTTGAGGATGGGATGCCACCGGGATCGAAACTTTTCATGTCCCCAAAATCAGCGTACATTACCTCAGATTTATTTATTGAATGATTGAAAACACATTTTGTTCCGAGGAAACCAGCTGGAAGAGTACATCTTTTACAAGATGGTCATTCAACTCACTGTAATTCTGTGGAAATGCTGGAATATGCAAAGGACAATGACATCACCTTACTTTCAATGCCAAGCCACACGTCTCACTACCTCCAACCACTAGATCGTACGGTGTTTAAATCACTAAAGACTCATTTTTACGAGCAGTGTCGACTAAAACAAAATCCTGGTCGTCGTATAACACGATTATAATTTGGAAGATTGCTTAATAAGGCGTGAGGAAAGGCAGCTTCTGCAGAGAATGCAATTGCGGGTTTTAAAGCTACAGGTGTCCACCCCTTCAATCCATCTGCAATTCCCGACTACGCGTTTACCCAAGAATTGACAAAGCAAATGTCTAAATCTCAAATGAGTGTACAGCCATTGTTATGGTCAAGGAGCAAGAAGAAAATACTAGTAACATAGCTTCGCTAATCTGGAACCAGTTCCAAATACTTTCGAAGTGCGACAAGACATATCACCTGCAATCGCTGAACCAAATAGCTCTGTTGAGCGAATAGTTTTAAACGCAAGTCCTAAGATGATTACAAGAAGGCTTAAAAATTAATTGCTACTGCTTCAGCAGCAGTAATTAAAAAAATGTCAGAACAATTCCCTCCAAGAAGCGATTTGCCAGTTCTGACTGCAACACGTATTTTAAAGCAAATATCGCCAGTACCACAAAAAATTATTGAAGTACGCAAACGTGCTAAACAGGTAGGCATGCTTTTAACCTCAGAGAATCAGATTAAAACAAGAAAATTTAAGGAAGCGCTTAAAAAAATAAGGAACAAAAAAATTCGAAAAAGACGTTAAAAAGGAAAGAAAAATTGAGATAAAACCAATAAAGCGAGCACCAAGAAAGAGAAAATCATTAAGAAAGTTATCTGAAAGTAGTGATGAGGATGAAGAACTAATATTATGTAATTCGTCTGATGAAGAAGATGGAAACAGAGAGTTAGATAACTGTGTAGGTTGTGGAGAAAATTATTACGAAACGCAACTCATCGAAGATTGGATTCAATGCGTTATATGCCAACTGTGGGTACATAAAAATTGCACCGAATTCGATGATAAGTGTTCATCATGTGGACAGAAAAAGAAGAATGAGATAAGGCTTAAAAACTTAAAGGGAAAAAGTGATTAAAATGTAGATTAACAAACTGGCCATCTCTCCCTTGCTTCTATGGCCATCTCTACCGGGCACTACGGGAGAGATGGCCAATCGTTATTTGAAAAAAAGTAAATTATGAGACTGATTATGTTAAAATGACAAAAAAATGTTGTGATTTTCTTAGAGTTTAATGTCGAAAGTTTAATAAAAAGTTGATTTTTGTTAATTAATCCTTGTAGTTTTTATTTTAGTGACTTCTTTAAAAACTATGGCCAACTCCCCCGGACTTACCCTAGATATGTCTTCTCATGTGGTATTAGTGCGGTATTTACATAATAAATTACCTGATTTAAACGAGCGAGTTTTGTGACCTTGACAGTTCGGCAACTAAAAATAGCGATATTGGAATTAACAAAATTTACATATATTTAAATTAACCAATTCAAGCGTCTCAGATTCAACATAATATTTGCAAAGTTAAATAATTCATGAAATCAACTTAAAAATAACTAGTGACCCGTTCCTTTTGGTACAGAAGATATTGTACTCCTGGCGACCTGCAACGGATTTGCTCGGTGACAAAGTATCGCAAGCCGGATAAATAGAACAAAATGATTTTCATTCAATATAGATTACATGTAATTCTTATTGAGTCATCTTTTACTTTTATCACTTGTTGGAAAATAATCTCTGTCTTGTAAAGACTCAAAGAAAGGCGTCAATCAAACACAGGACTGCGCGGCTGACTGGTTTATTCTCCAAACGCGTTATTACAGTTTCCACAATTATCCACTATTTCTATAATAAAACCTTACATTTTCCCCCTTCAAATCTTTGCATTTCTCTTATTACGATTAAAAGCACGCAAAGCTCGCGAAGACGCGTCGGGTCCGGGTGGCGTCGGTGTTGGGGACTTTATAGGTTCCGAGAAGGGTGCTGACTCATACGGAGTTACATCCAATACATTTGGTGGGTGTGTCCTCGATGCTTTCGGCCCACCTGACGCGTCTTCGAAACAAGCCCCATCGTCATCGCTACAGATCACATCAGTTTTATTACCATTTCTATCGTCACCCTGGGTTTCCTCCTCCCTTGACGTCTGACTTGTGCGCGTTAAGGAATATCTATTTTTATTTTTTATTGGAATGACTTGATCCCGATGTCTACGTATTTCAATCCCCTTTCCAATGTTTACCTTACTTGAGACTGGGCCCGTTTTACACACGACTTTCCCCTCGGCTCACTTTTTTCCCCTCGCGGAATAGTCGTGCGTCAGCACGGGATCACCGGGTTGTAGGTCGCGGTCGCGGTGAGCGCCGCCGGCCGCGGCCGCTTGGCGCTGCTGCACGGCGCGCGCGACGCTCGCTACGTCCGGTCGCATCGCCTTCAAGCGCCCGCGCAGCCGCCGCCCGAGCAAGGCGACCGCGGGAGTCACTCCTGTACTCGCGTGCTCGCAATTCCGATACTTAAATAAAAATATATTGATAGCCTGTGCCACGTTTTTACCTTCGTGAACCTATCTTTTAATAACTTTTTTAATTGTTTTGACAGCGTTTTCCGCGGCGCTATTACCTTGTGGTCTGTAGGATGCCGTGGTAACATGTTTGATACAATTCATATTACAGTAATTTTTTAAATCATGCAATAAAAAAGGTGGACCGTTGTCCGTGACGAGTTGCGAAGGAAGTCCGAATCTGGCAAAGATGGCTCTGCAAGCTGCGATTGTCGATTGTGCATTTGTACTATTCATAGTGGACACTTCGATCCATTTAGAATGAGCGTCCACTATGACCAGAAATTTTTTCCGTCATATTCCGCGAAATCCGCATGTATACGATGCCAGCGCTGAAGTGGAAACTCCCACGGTTGAATCGCAGCGTGCGGTGGCGCGTCGCGGACCACACGACATGGCTCGCAATTTCGACATACCTCATCTAGATCCTTATCGAGACTAGGCCAGTAAACGTAGTTTCTCGACAAATTTTTCATTTTATTAATACCTAAGTGGCCATCGTAAATCTCCTCCAAAACTCATGTACGTAGTACTGGAGGTATAATAAGTCTATACTTGTATAGTAAGCAACCGAGATCCGTAGTGATCTCGCTCTTACGCGCAAAATACGGTTTTTCTTCTTCGCATCTCGCCTCGGGCGGCCAACCGAACATTACATATCCTAAAATTTTACATAACAGACTATCTTTTTTGTTTCATAACTAATTTTTTTTAAATCTACGGGCATACACTCCTCTATGATATTTAAATAACTCACTGACGTAGTAAGGCCCCGCTCGAGAGGCAACGGCAGGCGAGATAAGGCATCTGCCGGCCCGTCTTTGAAGGCACAAATTCTACGGAAAAATCATAGGCTGCAAGACGGGCGGCCCAACGCTGTAAGCGCCTCGCAGCAGTTTGTGGTATACCTCCTCGTACCCCAAAAATATAGCTCAGCGGCTGGTGATCCCTACGCAAAACGAACCTCCTGCCGTACCAAATACTGGTGGTGTTTAGTAACACCATAAAATATAGCTAGGCCCTCTTTATCTAGTTTACTATAATTACATTCACTACCATCCGGGTAGCGACGCGCGAGCACCGCACCCACACCGTACGCGCTGCTGTCCACTGGGTAGCGATGCGCGAGCACCGCACCCACACCGTACGCACTGCTGTCCACTGGGTAGCGATGCGCAAGCACCGCATCCACACCGTACGCGCTGCTTTCCACTGGGTAGCGATGCGCAAGCACCGCATCCACACCGTACGCGCTGCTGTCCACTGGGTAGCGATGCGCGAGCACCGCACCCACACCGTACGCGCTGCTGTCCACTAGGTAGCGATGCGCGAGCACCGCACCCACACCGTACGCGCTGCTGTCCACTGGGTAGCGAGGCGCGAGCACCGCATCCACATCGTACGCGCTGCTGTCCACTGGGTAGCGATGCGCGAGCACCGCACCCACACCGTACGCGTTGTCCACTGGGTAGCGATGCGCGAGCACCGCACCCACACCGTACGCGCTGCTGTCCACTGGGTAGCGATGCGCGAGCACCACACCCACACCGTACGCGCTGCTGTCCACTGGGTAGCGATGCGCGAGCACCGCACCCACACCATACGCGCTGCTGTCCACTGGGTAGCGATGCGCGAGCACCGCACCCACACCGTACGCGCTGCTGTCCACTGGGTAGCGATGCGCGAGCACCGCATCATGTTCATGGATGTCTTGTATAGAGGAGCTGCCGGAGATACATACCTGCAGTTGTACATATTGTTACGCGCTCCAGTCAACGATACACTAGCGCCATCTAGTGTCAGGAACGAGAGCGAGGGGAGCATTGAGAAAATGACATCACAAATCGCTCAACTGACAGCGCCTAGTCGAAACTCGAACGCTCGGTACTTTGCCCGTGTTTACTTGAACATTCTGGATATTTCTTTGCTAATTTAAATATATAGGCGCTGCAAGATGCGATCGAGGCAGAGTGAACTCGGCGACACAAGCGAAGCTTCGGAGTGGAATTAAGTGAATTAGTGTGTTTAAATTATTAGTGTTTTAACTTTAATTGTGTAAAGTAAATTAAAGTGTTAATTTAGGTAATTTTATCGGCAATTTTTATTGTCACGAACCTCAAGCTCGTAACAATTGGTGTCAGAAGTGGGATAAAATCATGCCGATTTTACCTAAGGAGGAAACGGAGGGTGTCCGTACCCGAAGTCAACGCCAGCAGGAGACGGACCAAAGAAGATTTGGTGGTGCAACGCCGCAGACGTCGGAGGGCCAGCCACCGGCTGAAGGCCCGTCGGTAGCTCCTACATCTGCAGCACCTGACTTAGGTGCTCTGATGGTGATGCTGCAGGAGCAGGCCCGCCGATTGGAAGAGCAGCTGCGGGGCGGACAGGAGGAACAGGCCCGCCGACAGGAGGAACAGGCCCGTCGTTTAGAAGAGCAACTCCAACGCGATAAGGAAGAGCAGATGCTCCTCATGAAGGACCTTCACGCTATCTTCGGAAAAGAGATACGGGAGGTGAAGGATAAGGTTGCTCAACATGACAACCGCCTGTCGGAGGCCGAAACCCGAATCGACCAAGTAAACAATCGGGTTGACAACGTAATGGCTGACGTGAAGAAAACGCTGGACGACCTCAAACTTGGGGATGGAACAACAGCTCCCGTAGTAGCTACAACACCTTCGCTACGTGGATTCAAAGTACCGCCGTTCGACGGGACGTCTTCCTGGTCAGCCTACAAAATCCAGTTCGAGGCTGTTATGAAGGCGAACGGCTGGAATAAAAGTCAGGCCATGACTGCTCTCACACTAGGCCTGCGCGACCAGGCCTTAACAGTTCTGGAAGCTCTCGGTGAGGAAGTGACTTATGAGCAACTCCTTGAGGCATTGGAGGCGAGA